CTTATAGATAAACCTCTGGACAATAGGCTACAGAAATGTAAATGTCAACAATCTGTGTCACTTTGGCATCATTTATCATGTTATTGATTGAAAATGTTGCAGGAATCATTGTTGGCAGATCCCAAGGCTACTTGAGTTCTGTAAATTTAATAAAATCAGGAAATTAAAAATATATAAAGGTGGGTTTCATCAGTTTTCACTCACATGAATGCTTTTTGACTTTCTGCCAAAGATCTGGCAAAGTTGAACCAAGCTGGACATAAAAATTTGAGATCCCAACTCAGCTGTGCCATATCCCAGCTCTACCTCTCCGGCGTAAGTGCCCCGTCACCGGGGGTGCTGTAATGGCTGCCTGGTGAAGCTGGAAGTTTCTTTAAGGTGCTCTTGTACGCCCTTATTCAAAATACACGGAGCGGTGCCTCGCTTCTCTATCTCTCTGCATTCACTGGAACCTGTCGATGACTGGCTGGTACCTGTCGCCAGTCTGGATGGGACGTTCCAGCCCCGAAAACCCTGCTCTGCTTGTCCCAGCTGGCTTGGAGTGAATTTGCAGAACCTGTGGCCTCTGTGTCGGGCTTCTAGGATGGCTAACAATGCAGATCCACTGCTTACTGTCAAGACTGGTCTGGTAAATGCTAGGTCCCTAGCAAACAAAACTTTTATTCTGAAGGCTCTCTTCATATCCCGAGGACTGGATTTTCTGTGCGTGTGTGAGACGTGGCTGAGCACTGTTAAATGTAGCATCTTCTCTGAACAACCTGACGATTGCTGCTATTTTAATTCACCGCAGATGTTGGGCTGCAATGATTTTTAAAGGTCATTTTAAATGTAAGCAGTTATCCACACCATTCAGCAGCTTTGAACTGGCTGTTTGAGCAGGGCTGCTCTCACACAGTGTTGTGCGCGGTGGTTTATCATTGTAGTGGCGAATTTCTGTCCCAAGCGATGAAAAAATAATTCTTCTACTTCTGACTCGTACATACAAACAAACGATGTCACAGTCAAAAAGCTCTTTGCTGCTACAGCGCACATTTCCATTGCCGTACTGGCTAATTCTAACCTGCTACCACACATGCGCCATCATTTTTATCTTTCCAGACAAAAATTAAACACGCGGCATATATTCTCTGATAACGTCTTATATAAACCAAACATGTAACATAATAACTGAAATGGTACCAAAAATATTTTTCTATGCATTGGCTTTAACAATTGTCCTCCAGAATACAATAAAGACTTTGTGAATGACTTCTTAGCATGCCAAAATATGATTGTGTTCTTCTTGTTGGGGATTTTAATATTCACGTGTTGCCCTGATATGCCCATGGCAAAGGGCTTTTTAAACCTCAGCGATTTTGTTTTAATCTTGTGGAATGTGTTACCTGTCACACACATGAACGTGGAAACACACTTGATCTTGTTTTATCTCGTTTTTTTCTGTTTTCAACGTAGAGATTTGTGATGCTGTGTTTTCTGACCATAGTATTGTTATTTTTGAAGTTCCTCTTGCCTGTAGCAGCGCTGCTGCTGTTGCGTTTTTAACTCCTCCACTGTTGAGCAGCTTTCAGCAGTTTTTAATCCAAACTGTAAAATCCTGGAGTTTTTATGCAGCCGGACTGAGGAACTGAGCTCATGGTTTTATTCCACCTGCCAGACTGCTTTGGACACTGTGGCTTCATTAAAAACCAGGCAGCCTAAAACTCAATCTGATCCCTGGCTGAATGACACAACCCAAGCTGTCCAACGCGTGTTTTATCTATTATTCCTAACTACATACTGTACAGCACTTTGGTCCTATGCTGGCTATTTCAAAGTGCTTTATAAATAATGTTGAATTGAATTTAATTGGATTTGCCTTCTTTTTTTTTTCTTCCATGTCTTTATTGAGTTTTAAACTTTATCTTTTACAGTAACATCACCATTAAAAATAAAAACAACAAATAAAAACAACAGAACTGAACAAAACATAAGAAAACAGACAACCGAGCTCAAGAATACAATTAAACAGACAAAAGAGGACAGACTCTTTAATTATGAGATAAAGTTAGCAATACTCAATTCAATTCAATTTTATTTATACAGCACCAAATCAAAACAACAGTTACAGCCGTCAGCTACATAGAAAAAGATCCTGGTGTAGAAAGAAATATAAAATAAATTCTAACAACAGCTGATCAAGCTTAAACGTGCTGCTGTTGTTCAGCCGCTGGTTTCCTCTTTCTGGTGCAAAGTGAGACAAAAACAAAGAAGAGAGAAAAGCCGATCAGCTGATCATTGATCAGTTTCATGATTGAAGTGGCAGCAGGAGAGGGAGAGAGAGAAGAGGCAGTCGCTCCATATATCGGTTGTTAAACGTAACGTGGGAATGCTTTACAAACATTCAGAGATGAACTTACACACTTGTTTTACTTCTCTCTGGGATCACTTTGTCGGAGATGAAATGGTAGTGAGGCTACAAATGCTCAACCAGACCGCCGACAGGTCTCGCACGCCACAGCCGCTCTATCACGTGACACATACTGCTCCGACGTGCTACGGTTATGAGCCGAGTTAGGCCATGTCGCAAGTTTTCTGAGGTGCTTTTTTGATATTTAATGGATCGGATTACATTTTTTATTTCTCTCCGATATCCGATTCAGTAATTTACGTCAGTATCAGACCAATACCGATACTTAATATCGGATCGGTCCATCTCTATCACAAACGCTGTCCATCTAATCTGACTGAGCTGGAGCTGTTTCAAAGAAGAATGGGCAAAGATTTCAGTCTGTAGATGTGCAAAGCTGGTAGAGACAGACCCTAAAAGACTGGCAGCTGGAACTGCAGCAAAAGGTGGTTCTACATAGTATTGACTCAGGGGGCTGAATAATTACGCACACCCCACTTTGCAGTTATTTATTTGTAAAAAATGTTTGGAATCATGTATGATTTTCGTTCCACTTCTCACGTGTGCACCACTTTGTGTTGGTCTTTCACGTGGAATTCCAATAACATTGATTCATGTTTGTGGCTGTAATGTGACAAAATGTGGGAAAGTTCAAGGGGACCCAATATTTTTGCAAGCCACTGTATCATGTCATCTCAGATCACTCCCCTGTCACATTAACCTAAAACATCTAAAATGCAACCAGACCGCAGCAAATATGGAGGCTTATTGTTACGCGAGAAGGATTTTCATGAATATTTAGAAACACAGATCTCTCCGTATTGATGGAAATGGCAACTCAGAAACTAAGCCTGCTACACTTTGGGAGCCTATTTAAGCGATGCTATTATCTCTTTTGAATCAGCCAGAAGGAAGAGAAACCGGGCTAAGCTCCTGGACTTGGACAAACAAATTAAAGATTTGGATAAAGAGAAAGCCTAAACTCCATCCATCCTGCTACATAAGAGAATACTGTCTTTAAAATATGAATATAATAATCTACTCTCAGCAAAAATCAGTAAAAACTTTTTGTAAACCAAGCAGATATACTTTGAGCTTTGAATTTAGTGAGATTTTGTGCCCATACCTGCATAAAACATTTGCTCAAACTCTAGTAGATAAAGTCCTCCCTCCCACCGTTACAGAGGCAATTATAACTGTTATTTGTAAAATAGGTAGGAATGCTGGTTCTTATCGTCCCATCTACTTGCTAAACCTGGATGGGAAAGTATTCTCTAAAGTACTTGCCAATAGATTAAGCCCCTTTTAGTACACCCAGATCAAACTGGATTTATACCCCAGAGAAATTCATCTTTTAATCTCAGGCTAATATTTAACATTATTTACTCCACTGCCAGACCTAAAGAAGAGTTGGCAGTTTTGGCAGTCGATGCTGAGAAGGCATTAGACCAGATCGAATGGCCCTATTTGTTCAAAATATTAGAAAGATTTAAATTGAGTAAGAAATGTATGTCGATGGTGGAGTTGCTTTATGTCAGTCCTCATGCTCGCGTTCTTACCAGCCAGATTCTATCACCATCCTTTGGCTTATGCAGAGGGACAAAGCAGGGATGCCCTCTCCCCACTGATATTTGCCTTGGCAATAGAGCCCTTTGCTGAAAGCATACGCAAAGATCCAACTATTTTTGGTTGTAATACTGATACAACTACTAATAAAATCTCACTCTATGCAGATGATGTGTTATTATATATTTTTATATATCACCCAACCAGGAAAGACTATTCCTGCCATATTAGACAAAATTAAGTTCTTTGGGTCTTTGGATACAGGATAAATCTGAATAAAAGTGAACTAATGCCGATACATGTGAGCAACCCCTCATGGCTGCAAAACCTCCCATTCAGTATAGCTTATGCAAAGCTCACTTATCTGGGTATTCAGGTTACAAAAAGCAATCCCTCTCTATTAAAATCTAACTTCTCTCCCTTAATATCTGAGCTTCAGTCAAGTATACAGTTCTGGAATACGCTTCCTATATCACTCATTGGCAGAGTTAATGCTATAAAGATGATAGTTTTGCCCAAGTGGTTGCACTTATTTCCCAATCTCCCTGTGTTCCTTCCTAAAACATTTTTTAAAAACCTAAATTCACTCATCTTACCTTTTTAATGGGGCAATAAAACACACAGAATTGCTGGGAAACATCTTTGCAAGTCTAAAAAGCAGGGAGGGTTAGCGCTTCCGAATCTCCTGTTTTATTACTGGGCTTCGCATATAAAATTCATGACGTACTGGTTAGTTGACAACGGCAACCCCCTCACATGGTTGCAACTGGAGCTGGAAGCTTGTCAGCCTTACTGTATAGAAGCTATACTGCTGTCTCCCCTGCCCATTGATAAGTCTATATATGACGTATTCTTAAGCAGATTAAACTACACTTTGATTTGAAGTCTCTATCACCTATTACACCTATTGTAGGGAATCCATCTTTTAAACCGTCTATTCTAGACAATACATTTAGACTTTGGAAACAGGCCTTTGCACAATCAGCAATCTGATTTTTGGCTTCTCATTATGACAAGCTAGCTGGACAGCTGGGACTGGGGTTGTGGGCGTGTGGGAGGGTATTGTACCATGTTATGTTACGTTTTGTTATATTTTGTTATGCTATGTGGTGTTAATGTACAAAAACAGAGCAACTATCTCATGCTGTAAATTCCATTGTCATACAGACAATTGCTCAATAAATATATCCTGGAAAAAATTGCATATATCTGTTGCCATCAGCATGTTCAAAGTTTTAGAGGTTTCTACACATGTCAGGGATAATGTAGAGTTCCAACCCACCTGACCCGCCTCACCTCATCCCGGGCTGTGTTATCCCTACTGTCATGATATCACAAGCACTGGCTTTTTTTCTGGGGTTGGGGGATATTTAGGTCGTATTTAGAAATCGTTTCCAATCTGTTTTAGAGTAATTGTTGTCAGTCTGATTCAGACCACGATTGTCTGTCTAAACTGCATTTTTGTGGTATTTTAAAAAAGCTCTCATTCAGTTTTGTGCCTAGTTTGAAACAAACTTTCACTATTCTCCACAGACAACAGAGAAACAAACTCAAGGGGGCGGCCTCAGTGGAAAAGCCAGCTGTATGGGTCAGTCCAGTCCCAGCCGAGTGAAACAACCGGCCACCTTCAATTCTAGCCACACTCAACCTCCCAGCACCAGTATCGGCTTTAACCAGGTCCTACAAGAGGTCCAGGCCAGCATAATGGAGTCTGTCCCTAGTTTGGATGTGTCAGAATTCAGAGTGAACAATTCTGCCCCACAACATACAGCTCGACTTGCATCGAAATCAGAACAGAACACACCTCTGAACCTGACACTGCAAGGTAGAGTCCCTCAATGCTTCTCATGCAGTTTGTTCTTTTTTTCGTTTTTCTTTTTTTTTG